GTGTGTGTGTGTGTGTGTGTGTGTGTGTGTGTGTGTGTGTGTGTGTCAGGGAGAGAGGGAGAGACAGGGAGAGGGAAAGAGATGAGAGCTTTCTACCTGCCCTAATGAAAAAGTTACATAAATCTGAGTGGGCATGCCTCTGCCTGCAGCATTTCTCCATATTATACCACTGACCCAAACCTCTCCCAGTGCATGTGTGAGCGTACACGCTATGTGTGCGTGTTCGATCCTTGTAGAGTCCCACTTGCCTGTTCATGTCAGAAATAAACCAGAAGAGAGACACCCACGTAAATGTGCAGACACACTTACACTTACACACAGACCAAAAGATCTAGCTGACCCAAGCCCTAAGAAATAGCCAGTGTCTTCAAACAGAGATGTTAAAACAGGTTGACCTGCTTGACAGACACACATTTTCACACAGGCTGTATAATCACACACTCTTGTTCCCTTGGACTTTGGAAAGGAAGAACTACCTCCATACGCATAAACTAACATGATTTATGTTCACATACAGACACTTAGAGCCAAAACACAGTGAACGTGATGAATCAAACTACACTTAAAGTCAAAGACTTTCTCCTGATATAGCACAGTAATAGCAAGGCATTACCATAAAGCTCGTTCTTAATGGGTCAACAGTGCACAGGTACAAATCAGACATAGATTATTTAAGAGGTTCTCCTCTTGTTTCACAAATGCAGCACTAATATGAAGATGGCAACTAACAGCACTTGAGGAAAAAGGGGGTAAAAGCAAAAAAAAAACCCTCACTTTTACTGAAAATTACTCACATCCGCATATGCACACAGAAGCTTTAAAACAAGCGCACTAAGAAACTGAAATCAAAGTCATGCAAATACGTCTTCCAATTAGGCCCCAAACAGGTTTCCATGGGATGAAATGGCAACCTCTAATTGGCTGGATAAAAGAATGCTCACATCCGAGCCGACAACTTGAGACAGCTTGGAAAATATACACATCCCTACCTGCATCCATACAAAGACACACACAGGTGTACACTTTGTAAGCGCGGATCACAGACAATTTATTCATGGTTAGGGGAGTCACACACGGTATCACCGGTAAGATGAGAAGCAAGGGTAGAGTGTGTTGACACAGATATGGTGTATTGTCAGGTGCAGGCACACACACATGCTTGGGTCAGTCTCTTTTTAAAAGCGTGAATAAAGCTTTGGTCGTGGTGTCGTGTTAACATAAAAGCTTTCATGCTGTTAAAAAGACCAGGCTTTGATTAGAATTTGATGTGTGAGAGTGTTTTCTAATGCCGGCCTTTGCTGACAGCGGCCCTTTTAAATCCTGCAGAGCCTTTGCAGGGAGTCTTCTGTCAAAAATATGTTGAATCAACGATTTCACCTTAACATGCTCTGAAGGGGGTTTTTTGTTGTTACTCTTTTTCTTTTCCCCCCTTTTTTTTCTCTGAATTCTCTAAAAGACAGATGTTAAACGTGCTCACCATGTTTGCAGTAGATCTTTAGTAGATCTCAACCAAAAGGCAACAGCAGCAGCAGTAACAGTGTAGCTGTGGATGATCAAACATTGAATTTAAAATTGTTAACTAACTGAATATCAAAAAAAAATGTTTTTTTTAAATCTGATTAATAAGTCGCTCCTGCAAGAAAGTGTCTCTGTGTGACTTTTACAAAGTGGTGTTACTCTTACATGGCATGATCATTATGAATGGTTAAATAATTCATTTCTTATTCCCGTATGGGGATTTGTGTAGAATATGAGATCTGGACTGTGAGGAATCCAAATGCGCATATCATGTCTGAACCCATGTAGAGATCAGTGAATGTATTTGCATCTACAAAGTGCTCCACTTAAGCTCAAAGTTTTCAATATATATAGTGCTTAAGTTGCTGAAATATTGTGTACATTAGAGGTCTCGTTGCTGTCTTGTGAAAATTAGTTTTCAGATAAACTAAGGGGATTAAATCCCCCTAATGGGCTGAAAAATACATTTCTTCCTTGAATAAGCTTTAAAGAGTAATTGGATTGTTGTCTCGTGGCTTAAAAGAAAGCTTGAAAGATCAATGCTTTCTAAAAACACATAGCTTCCTCTGCAGATGGACACCGTACAAGAGCCGTAGACTGCAACAGTTTCAGTATTTAAAAATTTATGTAACTTTTAGGGATGAAAACAGGTTGGATTTCAGAATCTTCTATGCCAGCATACTGAATATGTAGTCTGGACTCTTGGTTGGTTACAAATGGCAATTTCTGTCAGCCTATTGGGCTAATGAGACTAAATTATTAATGAGTTGTGAAAATAATCCACAGTTAAGCCCTGAAGCCTGAAAACAGAAGCACTGAATCAGAACATAAAGAAAATGTGACAGATGTTATATAGATGGTTATATTTTAATATACCATACACAAATCCTCATACACCCAAAATGAACCCTAATGAGGTTCCTTACTGACACCTTAAAAGTGCAATCTATACCTGTCGTTTTATGCTGCAGACAAACAGCATCTAAACTATTTTTACTGCATTAGCTGCAGAATAATTTGCACTTTTCAACATTTTTTAATGCCACGAGTCGCATAATAATCAGGCAGACTTCTGAGTAAAAGGCTCTGCTGAATATGACTTCACGGGAGCCATTTCTTAACCCTAATGCCGAACTATAATTTTCAAAGGGGATTGCAAAAGCCAATGTACATATAGACGCTTGAAGTGTGGTGTGAGGTTATCGATAGGGACGCTTTGGAGTCTCCCCTGCTTTCTAATTAACTCTCCTTCTTCCTTCTCCGACCGCTCAATGGCCCAACTTTGCACTTGGTCTCTGGTGTATCGAACACACACACGCGCGCACATGCACGCGCAGACTCACACACGTTATCACACACTCGCATGCAAGAAGTCTGTTTGCATACCAAAAGCATACTTCATAGCTGAAAGAAAATGAAAGCCGTATTAATTATACAGTCTGCGTTTGTACACGCACGCACACACACAAAGAAAAAAAGAGGAGAGAGTGAGGGAGCAGTTATTTTGTTTCTCCTATGCGTCAAAGGAGACAGAGTGCGAGAATGATTGAGTCTCTCTGCGTCAGGGAGAGAGGGAATGAGAAATAGTGCAGAGGGAGAGAAAGAGTTCACTGTCTTCTCTCTTTAATGTGCGTGTGTGCACGTGTGTGTGTGCCTGTACATCTTCGTGCGTGTCGTCTACCCAGTATAACGCCCCCTCTGTGTCCCCGAGCCACTCTCTGTCACTCACACACACTGAGACTATTGTCAAGACATTGGGCGAGGCACCCCAAGACATTTCTGTGGCACTGTGTCTGTCACGGGGGTGATAGGGCTGTAAAGGGGTTTGCACATGCACATACACCCACACAGTTGTGTTTAAATCATTTTAGAGGACATTAAATTGACTTAATTTTTTTATCTGAAGGCTTCTCCTGAAACTAACCATAGCTGCTATTTGCTTAACTGCTTCCCTTCCCTAAACTTAAACTAAACCTGCTCGCAAACCATGTCTTCACCTCCGAATTGTGCCCTAGTTATTATTGGGACTTGTTTATGGTTCCCAAATGGGAAGTTGGTCCCCACAATATGATGGTGTAAATACATTTATGTCCCCACAAAGTATAAACACACAATCTATAAGATCCACAACTAATGTACAAATATGCCATTTTATATGTAGGCAGGTGAATTAATGTGGCAGTCGCCTGGAGTGCAGAGCAGGCATGTGTGAGTGTGTGTTTGTACTTGTGCGTGCCAGAGTTATAGCATACGCATATGTGGGTTGTGATTATGTGTGGCAAGGCCTATGTGGTGTACGTGCTTGTTTGTATCTGACAGCACATTAGGCAAAGCTATCTTTAACCTTGTAAAATGAGTGACACTGAGTCTAAACTGACAGGATGGATTTCAGTTTGCCATGGCGCTCCATCGTGTCAGCCTCTGTCAGCTCAGCCCGTCCGCCCATTTCACAAAAGACAGGAGCGTCACAAAGGAGACAAAGTATATGTGAGGGGGAGGTAGAGAAACAACGAGAAACAAGAAGAAAATGAGAGGTTTATGGAGAAAGCTGGGAAAGATATGAGAAATGAAATAGTTTGGAAAGTCGGGGAGGAAGAGCGGTCTTGTTTGACAGAGAAAGGATGCCACACCAAAAGAGCTGAAAGTGTAAACGAGGCAAAAGAGTGTGAAGGAGAAAAAAAATGGGAGTGTGAACCGAGGTAGAGGTGGTGGAGGGAGCAGGGGGAAAGAGACCTTGCTCTTGTAGTCGGACGTCTCTGAGGTCCTTTATTGACTCTATCTATTGTTCACAGCAGCACTCCTAATCACTCTCAACAGGGAGGTTGTGTTTGTGTGTGCCCGCGCGTGGATGTGTGATCTTGTTTGCGTGATCTTGTTTGCCAGCCTTTTACAAAAAGTACGTATCTTTAGCCTCATCCTCACTTTTACTCTTTCATACACTGGCCCCCACAGAGAAGCTATTGTTCACTCTTCATCTGGTCAACCTTAATGGACAATAGCAGTGGGTGGGAAAAGCCTGTTCCTAACACGCATACTATTAGTCTAATGGTACAAATTCTCACACACACACACACACACACACACACACGAAGACAGAATGGGCAGTAAATACCATCTAAATAGCAGGCATACATATGTATGGTCTCTCTTACTCACGCAGGCACACAGAAGGCCAGTTGTACGCGGCCATCCTGTTTGCATCTTTCTTAACAATGACTGCTGTCATGGATATTATAAGAGATGACTGTTTTAAGGACTAGCACTGGAAAGTGATGAACACCACCAGCACACACACACCAACAGAGGAGCTAATCTGAATCATGGGCATTTGTCCGGTAAGCCTCGTTTCACATCTCACACTATGAGCCTTTGTTTCTGTTTTGTTTTTTCCCCTATAGACAGCCATGGCTTCACAAAAGGATAAACATTTCAAAGGGCTGATGCTGTGAATAGAGTCAATGATTTTCAATGTGTATCTGCAGGGTGGAGAGCCCAGATGGAGACAGGGAGAAGGGAGAAAGCACAATGCCAGAGTGGACAGATTGATGGTAATAAAGCTGTGGTGGATGGCGAAGCAGTCGATCCACATGCAGCGAAACACTCTCTCTGCCTGTCTGCCTCTGCACAAACAGTCATCCGCAAAATACCTGCAAACATCCACACACTTTAAATAACTAGTTAGGGCTAAAATGGTGCACAACTGACTCACGGTTTTATTTCTAAATGGAGCCAATAAGAGAAAGTGATTGAAGTTCACAAAGCTTCAACAAATCACAAACGTGCCTCGCACAAAGCAAAAACTGTTAAGCGGGACAGGCGTGTCAGAAGTCAGCGAGGCTCGTAGTTCCAGTGTTTGCCACCGGAGGGCTTGCAGCAGACTGCAGCATTCTGAAGAGGAGTGTGGAGAGAGGGAGCGAATGGGTCCGCATAGTGCCGATCAGATGACCTCGCTGCTGCAGTTAATGTTCTCTGGCGCTCAGACACAAGGCTAAGGCTCTCCCTCATACCGCGGGGCTGTTGTACAACAAGCTGTTGTGGTGGTAGGGGTGGTGTTGTTTGAGGAGTGCGAGTGTGGTTGTGTGTAAGTGTGTATGCAGGAGGGGAAAAGATTAGGGGAGTGGAACAAGAGAAGGTGCTCCTGTGAGGGGAATGAGGGAGCGTGACACCAAGAAGGTAACATGTTTCTAAAGCACTGCTCAATTTCTGTAATCCGGTCTTTCTTTCTTCTATACCCTTCTCCCCATATTTCTCCTTTTTCTTTGCCTCCTTTCTCTTTGTCCCGCTCTCTTGCCCTCTGCGTCTCCACCCCCCCACGCACTTTAATTTGCCCCCTCATTTCTACTGCCGCACTTGCCCCCCTTTTTCTCTACCTCATACCCCCTCTCCCTCCCTCTTCTCCCTTTCTCTCTCTCTCTCTCCCTCTCTTCTTTTTCTCTCTGCAGTGCAGCACAGTGATTATCATTCCTCTCACAGAGTCAGGCCTGATAGTCAGATACTGCTGAGCACCCTTCTACATCACCTGCTTCTAGAGGGAGCAATGGAGAGCGAGAGACTGAGACAGAGGAAAGAAGAGAAAGGAAGAGGGGAGGGAAAGAGGGAGAGAAGATCGGTGAACTGCAGAATGAGGGGAATGAAAGAAGAAAGAGGAAATGAAAGGGGAGAAAGTGGGGGGTGAGGGAACAAAGGGTGAAGGAGAGCAGAGAAACATGGGAAGGGAGGGAAAAAGCAGAAGCATGGATAAGGGAGGATTGCTGTTACTGCAGAGGTGGTCCCACTGCAACATACATGCTGCATAGTTATAGATGTGTTGTCAGTGTGTGTTAAAGTGCACACTTGCAAGTGTGAGTGTGAGCAAGCGTGGCTGAAGTGCGCATTTACGGCATCAGCGTAGAAGCTATGAATGTCTGTGCGAGTGCGTGAGTGTGCGCTGTGATAATAAGGCGCCTTGACTCATCAACATCACTGGGCCAGACAGCTGAAGAAATGCCACTCATATTGCTTCATCCCTCCCTGAGCTGAGTTTCAACCTGCTCCAAACCATTTTGTGCATTCTGCAAATGCCACAACAGTCCGCGTCTCTCCCTCTGAACGACATTCTTCATCTCTTCTTCACTTCTACTTCAGACAGTCTGTGGTCATGCCGAGTCTTTTCCTTTTATTATTTTATATTTACCTCGCTACAAATGCTGATTAACAGACATTTTTTTTCCTCATCCCACCTTTGATCAGTTGTTCCATCCATCATCCGTCACTCCCTTCCACGTAGTCTCTTGACACATGTCTGTACCTGTCTGCTTGACCCAGCGGTGACACTGCGTAAGCAGGATGTCTGCTCTTTTCAACATAGCCTTAAGAAACTGCATTATGGCACTGGAAACGTCACTCTGTTACACCACTAAGGGCTTGAACAAAGTTGCAGATCATTTCTATATTTAAATAACCAGTTTAAATATATCATCATCAAATAAATTGTTAACCCGTCTGTCCTGTTTGCGCAGTAACTGAAAGATGCTTTCTGTCAGCGTGCTTCACTGTTTCCCCTCCTCACTGGCTTTGATGCATAACTTAACAGTTGACAGCAAAAGATTTCAGGAGGTTTTCTCATAAACTCTTGGAGATTTTATTAGGATCACACGAATTTTACCAGTTAACTCATTTTCCAGTTAAACTTTAGTTTCACTTATTTTATTGGACTCTTTGACATGATGAGAAAAGACAGAAGAAAAGAAATAGCAAAAAGTGTTGGAGTAGAAATGAACTTTGTTTGTGCAATTAGATTAAAAAAAAAAGAAACAACAACAAAGATATTCATGTGTTGTTGTTTTTTTCACCAACAAATTTCACACTTAAGGTGCTTGTAAAAAGAAAAAAATCCCTTACAGTTATGAAACAAGACATCTGGAGCCAGAGAATTTAAATGGCAATTAAAATGGTAGAAAACAATAGTAAAGAAAGGCAAGGAAAAGCAAGCTTTGAAGTTAAATGCAAGTCATGCAACATGTCATCCGTAGAGCCACTTTGTGTGAATCCACAGTGAAGAAGTGTCTCTGCATAAACGCCTTTTTCATGGCAGTTTAATCATGCAAGGTGTAAGGATGCCTGCTTTAAAGCAGTCAATGCAAGCTCATTATTTTTCAATAATATTTGCATTGTAATCTGGTCGCTGTTATTGAGTTCACTTATTCATTCCAGTATTCACTCTACTCTTAAAGTATGACCACATGCACGCTGGCTGTCTGTATTAGCACAACATGATTTCTAAACGGCAGCAAAACAACAGAGCAGAAACAAAGGTCATTTTGACTGATCAGCATTCCGGATATGAAGTCTGGACTATACCCATGTGGTGTCAACAGGAGCATATTAGTTTTCAGTGTGTGCTCTGGTAGTATAGTGCAATATCACCTTACGTATTCCACACAGTTATAGCTGTAATAAGCATTAGGCTGACATTTTATCAGGTCTGGTATTTTTTTAGATAGTAAATAAACTTCCAGATTATAAGAATCGGGATAAAGTGATATTATCTGTTAATAAAAAATAGCTATGTTGAATAATCTGCACTTTTAAGGCATTTTTAATCCTTTCTCGTGCAACACTAGTCACAGTAGAGCTGGCGTATGAAGCTCACCGGCCATCAGGAGCAACTAAGGGTTGACCGTCCTGCCCAAGGTGGAGGGACCAGGGACTGAACTGCCAACCCTCTGATTTATTTATTTTTTGACAGCTTTGTACAGAACCAAAGAATAGATCGCTATTTACTTTATTCATTTGTATATTAAAGGCTTTTTAGAGCAATGTACTCGTTTAATCACTAATTTATTTTTTTTTAATTGATTATTAAGTCATTACTCATATTATGCTTAAATGCCAGGGTTATTCTAATCATTCAAGAGGTCATCCTGCCCACTAGAGCTGCTAAGCCTCTTAAAGAATTCCATAAATCTGGTCTGTAATTAAGACTTTCAGTATCCCACATCAGTCACACAATCCAATTTTTGGCCTAAAAATATCTTATTTTACAAATATTGATGTATGCCATCAAACGTAACGTGTTCTCAGGATTAAATCACGATTCAAGGATCGCTGCCAGGGAAATTACACCGCGGCACCCCTCAGTCAACGTAAGGAAAATTTCAGGTGTCTGGAGGGAGCGATTACAAACAGGATGTTTGTTGTCTGCTTGATTGACGTTGGACTCAGTGAATAAACCGACTTTGGCCTGTTTCAAAAGAACTATATTAACAACACGGGAAAAACACTTTTTCTTTTAACATCCAGTTTTTTATTTTTAGCAAACAGCAATAAATACAAACATGCAGCAATATGTTGGGCAAAGACAGATGAAAGTATAATCCATCACAACACTTTTGATGCCGGGCAGTAGGACCGGCTAACGTCATTATGAATTATAAAGATAAAAATTTATCATCATCAACACTAGCATTTCCAGCTCTCAGTCGATAAATTTAATATTTGTTCTGTCACAGCCTGTTACATTTTACACTTCTTTTCATAGTTTTGTTTTCTTGAATAAAAGAAAGAAGCCACAAAGAAAAAAACCAATTATTATGGTCATTAAGTATGTTTAGCCGAAACCTAATTACACTGACTTTTATCAATTGTCAGTTCAGAAGTTAAAAGCTATCATCAACTCTTTTAATGGATAATGATTTTATATTATGTATCAGCATTTAAAAAGTCATATCAGTCAATCCGTCAAATGAATTATTTTACATTTTTTGGTCTGTATTTACTGAATGTGTCTCACTCTGCCTCCATGCAACATGATTTGAATAAATCTGTGTTCATGATGGGAATTTGTCCCCCTGTCTATGCACTGTTACAACCCAGTACACTTGGTTTCTAAAAATTAGCCGCAGTGGCTCTTCACCTATACAAAGATGATGTCAAACATCAAGGAGAACGAGCAGAGAGCGAAAGGGAACTGTGGCTCCAGTCCTACAACCATATTTGTAGTTTTGGTTTATGCATAAGCCGCATCCTGTCAGTTCATTATGCAGACCAGAGTGTACCAGGGCATAAACAAACACAAACACGGTCTCACATCCAAATGCTCTCTCTCTCTCACACACAGACACACACACACACACACAGAGAGACCAAGAATCAGATGTGCAGATACACACATGTGTTGAATATGCAGACACATGTAACAAGAAGAGAGGGAGACTGTTAATTAACTAGAGCTCGTTAATTCTCTTTGAACCGACAGCATGGAGGTTTACACACTAATTACCTTGATGACTGAGCCAACCTGTGCACGCGCACACACACACATTCTACAAACACAGACGCACACGCAGGTGCGACTAGTCTCACGGGCTGACATAACACATCTTGCAGGTTTTGAAAGTCTCACACTCGTACACGGCTATCAAACACAAACATAAATGTGAGAAGTCTCACTCATATGCATATACACACACTCACACACACAGTCTGCAACACGGTTTTGCCCTGAAATGAAAGCTATATTAGGAACTCTTTTTTTTTCTCTTCAGAGCTGCAAGATACAGATGGTTAAGTTTATTCTTAGTTCAGACCCATCATGCTTCCTTTTGATTCACTCTTTCGATCTGCCAGAAATAACTTCAGACCAACTTCCAGGATGGTCATATGTTTGTACAATATAGTTGCATTACATCCACACACACATATGAAAACATAATCGATCAAACGCGGACACTCACACTCGCTCACTTTGCTGCGCAGATGAGCGAAGCTCCCATGTCAGTATTGGACTGTAATGGCCCATGTCAGATTAGGGGGAAGGGTTTTTTTTATGTCCTCCGTCAGACTCAATTAATACTCCATCAGGCATGAATTCATAGGCCACACTGGACCTTAGCCAGTTCATCCATGCGTGTGTTTTGAAACTAATAAATGTGTTTTCACATTCAGTTGATATTTGAGTATAGCACTATGTTACCTATTATAATAATGAGACTTTTTTGAAGTTCCTCCTCCAAATTAGAGAAAGTGCACATGCACACACAAAAGTGCTTTTGTCAGTCAGGTTGGAAAACATCAAGGAGGTTTTTCAGTGCAAAGGTAGAAGCTGGCAAAGAAGCAAGGAGAGAGTAGGAGACACTTCGCAGGTATAAGCAAAGAAGGCGGAGATGTGAAAAGCTTTTTAAGAAATCCATATTCACAAAAGAAAGATGTTCAAATGGTTACTGGGTAGCAGAGGGTGAGTGAGAGCGAAAAGGAAAAAGTGAGACGACAATGTGAAGTAGCAAGAGGAGCTGAGGCAGAATGTGTAGAGTGTGGAGTCATAGAATGTAATGACTAGAAGATGCCAAAATATGGGATTTGGCAAAAGAAAAGAAGCGAGGTTTGTCAATGAGGCTAAGGCAGTGGATGTGAGAAGACGCTGGAAAAGGGGGTTTGGGGAGTGCAGAGAAGTTATGGGTCAATAAAGCCCGCTGTGGGGAAGCAGAGAGGGACTCATAACGAGGTCAAGGACACATCATCGATCGCCACATCATAACGCTGACTGGCAAGGAGAAGAAAGGATTGAGGAGGAGATGGAGGAAGTGAACAGGAGTCACGGAGGACAGAGGGAGAGCTATGCTACAGCTGTGGAGAGGGGGTGACTGTAGAATTGGCCGAAGCGAAGAAGGGGGAGAAGCGGGAGAGAAGTAGAAAATAAAAAATAACAAGGATGAAGGAATGAAAGGGGGCAAGTCTGGCCAGAAACAAGGTTAGAGGGAAATTGAATTAGACGGAATCATGGCTGAACAGATCAGATCTGTAATAAAACACACACAGAGGAGCAACCCGCACCAGTTTTGCAATAAGGTGCTGTAAATCAAGGCGTGCTCTGTGTTGCAAGCTGGATTTCTACACTTACACAGTAATCCTACCCCCTCTCATGTAGCTGACATGTTACATTTAAGCCACAGAGCTAAGAATCTCATATTCAGAAGTACAGCTCTAAGAAAAAGTTTGCTAAGCCTTTGGAAAGACCATGATCTCTACATTGATTGCCCATAAAATGTTATCTGATCTTCATGTGACAATTATAGACAACCGCAGACTGACTAGACTAGCAACACGCAAACAGCTGTGCTTTTCGTCTTTATTGAGCACACTAAGTAATTGCTCAATAACCACATGAAGAGAACATGAAGAGTTTGTGTGCTGAATCAGATCTTTCGACACAGCAGCCTCAGCTTTATACTTTATACTTACTGCTCAATTAGCAAAGGTTGCTCACACGCTAACTTTCTTAGCATAGTAGCTAATATAAAACATATTGACAGTGTTATTGTTACTTGTCATCTCAATATACCTCTGTTTACTGACAGCTTTGCCCACCTGAAACAAATTACCTAGTTGCACAAAAGTACGATTATTACCTCTTTTCTTAAGTTGTGTATTTCCTCACTCAGGTAGATGTAACGGCACATCCTTGATGTTATTGAATACAATCAAAATAGAAGTGATTTTTATTTTATTCTGGACATTTTTCAGATTGAAAAGGGAGAAATGTCAACTGTGCAATTATACTGGTTGAAATATCTTCTATTGTGTAAGATAGAGAGCGTTTTTCTCAGCTGGGCAAGAAAAGAAATTAGCGGATTCAGGAAAGAGCTTCTGAACAGCGGACTGTGTTTTTAAAGTTGCCCAGTCATTTATTAGGGGGCAAGTTTGTTTTGTCAAAGCCATACATGAGAATATCTTTCTTTCTTTTTCCTGTTTTATATCCCTTGAACACGGGCATGCCCCTCTTGTGGCCTTGTGATCAGAAATTATTATAATTTTTCATCATTATTTTCATGAAATAAATCTGTGATCATGAAAACACATCCTGCCGTAATGTTGAGTTAATATTATTTTATGATCAGAAGTAGAAAAGTTTTGACAGCCTGTTAAGTGAATAGAGGATTTCTTTTTGTCAACACCTGTGATGTCGGAAAACACTTATTATTACAAGTTCCCACATTTTCTTACTCATGTTCTCGCTGACTCTTTACACCCAGCTTCTACTCATTTATCCACTGTTCCCTCTCTGAGCTGTTGCCCCCTGTTTGAATAAGTGGAAAAGAGGTTGAGCTGCTTCAACTAAGTGAACGCTCTAAAAAATACATTGCTGTCTGTGGAGAGTTAAAATGAAGCCACCGAGGTTGCAAGAACTACTGGTTTTCCATTAGATTCCAATGTCTCGGCTCTTTCCTCACCCTTGCACGTGCCTCCCATCCCTGTTGTCTGAGTCACTTTTTCTCATCCCCATTTTATCTCAACGATGTTAAGAAGTGGCAGAAGAAACACGTGCTCCATTAATTTCCCGTTTCTCCTTAATTAATTTTGCTGTGTTCGCCTCTCATCTTGTCTTGTGCGTTCATTAGGTGAACTCGCTCAAATGTTTCTTTTCTTTCTGCGCGCGCTTGTGTGCCTGTTTGAAAGAAAAGGAAGATTTGGTACAGTCCGGACTTTTATTGCAGCCCTCCATCAGTTTTCCTCCCCGATTATCCTGAGGTGACTTTCTGAGCTGACGTTTTGTCCACCCTAATCTGCTTCCGTCCTCTGCTCAGTCACTTCCTCCCCATACGCTGCATGTTTCAAAGCAGATTTAGGTTGAAAGGGATGTAATTTTGTGACCAGATAAATGAGTATGAAAGGGGTTTGTGGGGGAAGGGGGGTTATATAGAAATGGGCTTCCTGGTGCAGAGTGATCCCTTCAGGCCAGACAGCGTCGTTTAACTTTCACTGATAGCCTCTCAGCGTGAACTTATAACAATCTTTATCCTCTCTGTCTCGCCTCAAAGTGAAAACCACTCCGCTAACTAGACTGGGGGTGATTAGAGCGTTAAAACTGGAGCAGGTGCGATGCTTAGTTTGCATGAATGATGTAATTCACTCCTGAAACCACTTACACTGTAAAACTAGATTATTTGTTATTGATGGGAGATGGTTCAGTGGTTTGTGTCGCAAGGATGCTTGCAACCTATTTTTGAAAGTTGCAGTTCTTATTTATTTTTTGCTATTCAGATATTAATAAATTTCTACATTATGATGAGTTGGCTTACTTCTAAACTAAGATAAAATGAAGGAAAACGCTTGTCAGATCTTTTGATATCTCATATCTCTGGAACTGGAGCCCAAAGAGTAAATTGTTGTGGATCACAAATGTGTAGTTTTACATTCTTATTTTTTTTATTAACCCTTTAATGCCCAGTGTATTATATTAAAATGCATTTTTTAGACTTCTACATCATCTGTCAACCCTCCCCACTCCCCCGAAAAACCTAAATAAATCTCACAATACATTTTAAGCAATAAATAACAAAAATAGAGGTAAAAAAAATGCCAGGTGTAGCAAATGTGACATAAATTAAAACTCAGGCTTTAAAGGGGTTAAATAAATGCAGTGGATTTTAGTAAGTAAGCTAGTGCGAATTCCACATACACAGCAGGATGATCTAGTAGAGACTGGCTTGAGCTGAATACGCTGCCTGTCATTCATTTTGAAGGAACATGTCACCCTTTGCGCCAGAGAGGCTGTATGAGCCTTTGGAGACACAGACAAGCCTTTTTAACTGGAAAGCACATGCACCACCGAGGCCTTTTTTGCAGTTTCAAAAGAGTTAACCACGCTCAGACTGAAATTTAATGGCCTCTTCCTTTGTGCATGTTCCACCATTCCAGCACATTTCCGAAAAATCTGACCTGCCAGTATTTGTACCTGAGAGACAGACAGGAAAACGGAAGGCCTTCACCCCGGCTTTTGCTTTAGTCAAAAGCATAAAATCTGTGCATGTCCGTTTTTTCTTGCTGTCAATGAGAAAGATGTAAAATGTCACCAGACTCATCATTTAACATCCTTCTCTTATTTCAATACAGTGCTGAATGTTGTTTGTGAGCTTGAACTTTATATTACCCAGCTGCTACTACTAGGCACCATTCCAGATTGAAAAGAAACTCTCTCTGGCCCGTCCAGAGGTTTGTAAACATCAACCATGTCCAGAAACCTTAATCTAAACTGGGATTAAAGGCCAACTGAAAACTTTGAGGGAGTGCCATGATTGGTTGATAACTATTACCCTGCATTGTAGCAGCTAAGCCCATAATCAAGGCGAACATCCTCCGATAATCCCAATATGTCTTTGCAGACCCCTGCCCAACAGCCTAATCCTCAGATTTAGAACCTCAGATTAGGAATACTGGATGATTAATCTCATATTGTGCGTTTGTTTTCTGCAGGGGACCCTTCGCCGGGTGACCTTCTCGGTAGTGAGCCAACCACAGGACGGTGGTTGCTATGACAGTGGCCTGGAAGACTCGGAGACTCCGAGTAGCAAGAGTTCATCAGGGCCTCGGTTGGGAGCCCTGCCACTTCCAGAGGAAGGCTACGAGCGAACCACACCTGAGGGCAGCGTAGGGGAGGAGGAGCATGTGGAGAATGGTACACACATGGCGCATTAGAGCTCAAAAAGGCCGAGCGATGCATTTACTTGTATATGTTTTACTTTGCTTGGACATGTTGATAGACACTATCTATGTCTCTCATTTTCTCTTTCCCTATCTCTCTCTCGCACCCCCTCACCTCCTCTTTCTATGCCATAAAAACACACAATAACACTTTCATTAAAACCTCGGCTTGCTGTCAAGGCCTCGGGAATCTTTTCAGTCTTTCACATGATGGAAATCTGTTTTATACAAAAAAGCATTTGTTCTGTGTGTGTGTCTGTGTGTCTCTGTGTGTGCATGCACTTGTCCCACATATACAGAGTGTTTCTGAGTAATATGTGAAGGTTTTTTTTAATAAAAGCTAATGTGTGTTAGTATGTTATGCCAGAGAACCATCCCTGGCCTTGTCCAAGCATCTGCTTCACCAATGAAATTGTGTTTTCACCTTTTTGTGCAAAGTCTTTGTCAAGGATGGCAAGCGACAAAAAAAGTTATTCTTTTGATCTTTTCACTCGTCTTTCCTCTGTATATGGTCATGCCAGGGCTGCAGCAACATCGGCAACAAGCCAGGGTCACTGTGACCTTGGTGAATAACTAGTTCTGTGGCTATCAGTGAGTTTCCAGTTCAATGCTGCTTCTTGCCAGTGTGCGAAATTTTGTTGAGTTTAATAAGTTTTTGTCACGGTCAGATGGAGAGACGAATTGAACAGAGAATTCATTGTGTTGGCTTTAATTATACTGCACAAGTATGTTCTTGTTTGGTTTCGCATGAAGTTACTGCTGCCGCTCTACATATTCAGTAAAACTTTGCTGGCAGATTACAGCAGAGATATCTAATTTCTTGCGGTAAATTCAAGTGAAGCCAAAGTTAGAAGCTTTAACAGGAAATGAACACATTACATGACATGACAAGACATGAAAAGACAAACGACTGGTTTTGCATACATAAGGCTACAATACATCAGCATTAAATCTCTGGTAGTCTTGCTAACCTTTGGAAAAAAGCACTGGAGGAATGTTACAAATACACATCCAATCAATTCCTTCCACATAAAGAAATTTAGTCTTGCCATTCAAATTCCTGCTGATGAATTTCCTTTTCTTTTCAGTATTTTTTTCTTTTTCTTTTTTTTTTTTTGCTTTGACCTCAACTTTTACCTTTAATGTAATGCTGAACCGCACCTGATTTTTTTATGCATTCTTTGGATGTCAGCAGTTTTTCTTTTTGCTCCAGCAGCATTTTTCCTTTAATTCAACCCCCTCCTTTGCAACCTTTGTCTAAAACCATCTTTTTAAAGCTATTTTCTGTCTTCCTGTCTCATTGTTCAACTCTCCTTTCTCTCTGGTACTTTTTATTTCCTTGTCTCCTCATCATTTGGTGGTCTAGTGTGTGGCACCGTGAGTCAGTTCATTGTGACATTCCCCTTTCACTCTCTTTTCGCCAGTGTTTTCATTGTGATATATTACTTGTTAAATTAAGGCAGAGATGTCATTTAACTTCTTTTGTTTCTTTTTTCTGTATCCAGATGCTAGACAGCTGCCAGATGTAGCTTTGACAGGGAAGTGTACCAGGGAGTGTGATGAGTTTGGCCATTCTGACACTTGTTGGATGCCTGTCCGCTCTTCGGCACGGCCGCGTCAGCGCCACGGCAGCGACCCACCACGACTCTCGACCTTTGCCCCCGGAGATGACAACAATAACCTTCGCGGTAACGACCATGAGAGTGACAGTGAGAGTGCGGGAAGCGCGGGGAGCTCCGAACCCGGAGTGGTCGTCAGTGGAGAAGGTCAGAGATTACCTTTAGCCAATGGGGATCCGCTTGGCACCCTGGGTAGGGGAAACCACAACAGGAATATGGGTGATCACAACCGTAACCTTCTTAACCGCAAGATGACTTCTGCATCCTACGACACATTTAGCAGTGCTGGTTTTGGGAGACGCCAACAAGAGGAGGGAGGGGGAGAAGGCCAAAACCCACCTGAGGTCATACCACTGACGCGGACAGGAGGGGACTACAAGACCACATCCTGCCTGACCTTGTCACGCCGTGAGGTCTACCTGTGACATCCTTGCAGTCCTCACCACTACTTCCTTTTCCATAACAAGAGGGAGGATTAAAACTTCACTGGCAAGTCATCAGCGTGAAAGGACTTGGAACCTGGGAAGATGTGAAACTGTCAGAAAAGATGTTTTCCAAAAATACTTTTTGATTCTGACTAATATTTATAGGCCCTTAAATGTAGGAAAAAAATTGGATAAACTCCTAGGAGAACCCTGAACAGAAAGAACACTTTCTAAAGCATTTTTCTAAATACTGGTGAAAGTTACCTACAGGCAAAGCTCCTCTTATGACAATGTGGAGGAGGACAATCTTCTCTTCTTTTTACCTGAATCTGATGCATGCCTGACCCTATCCCACAGAGGGAACTGTATGAAGAAGAAAGAAGCGGAGACGGTGTAAATTCTGATGCTATAAATTCCTGAGTGCGTATAAAAACTGAGTCTACAGCAGACCAGATTTGGACTCAACTGGTGAGCCATCTGCTGAAAAACCACAGAGGTTTCATCCAGTCAAAACAGATTAAAAAAGAAGTGACGGGTCTTTGATTGAGTTATTTGAATCTAATTCAAACCAATCAATTTTTCTAATGTCTAATCAACTGTATCATAACACAAGAGGGGGATATTAACCAATCAAACTGCTCATGTCTTGAGGATTTTCTGTCATAAATAGAGCGTAAAGTACCACCTGAGTGTGATTGCCGTAATGTTACACACTAGAAAAAAACGTCAGTTGTTTAAAACACATACGATTCAGAACAAACAGCAACAATGTGAAAACAGACTTTTCTTACAATCAAATGTAATTTTTCAGAATACAGTGTCCTCATAGTATGTCAGTAGTGCCACAGTATTCGGGCGTGTGTGAGAATATATGTTTATTATTTTACCTTTACACCCAGTCTGTATGTATATAGTGTATGTCAGTATTTGATAAAACAGCAGCGTTATCTCTCCGCTGCTGTCTTTCGTTGAGTAGACTGGGGTGCTTAGTTCATTGCACATCTACGGTATCCTAACGGTGTTCATGTATGATAAGTGCTCTCTCACGCACACGCGGACACATATGCACTCATACGCATGCAAGCGCTCATACACTGAGCATAGCATGTAAACACAAACATACAGTGCATTTACAGAATGTGGACGTGCATAAGGCCACCGTTTATGACACGAGTCAGTGGCTGTGTAACATAAAGTATGTAATAACCTGCATTAACTTTCATACAGAAAAAATTAAGAACAGGCAAACACAACACACACATACACACAGCATATTTAAACATAAGTCATATAAACGCAGTGCATAGTTCATGTGCACTATGTATGTATGTGCTTTTTTATCATAATTTTTTAACATTATCATTGAACTAGCTGTAGCATTTTGCCTGCTCCCCTCCATCCAGTATTTAAACATGAAATGTATTTAATAATTATTCATCTCTGACTGATGTGTGAGACTACATTAAAGGGAATTTCAGTGACATCTACTGTAAGTGACGATAGACAATGTGAAAACCGGAGCTATTCTGCTGTACGTAGGACTCATAGAAAAGACCAAACTTCTATAGCTTCTGTAAGAAAAAAAGGAAAGAAAAAAACTGCATGAAAGAAAGATTATGCTAACTTTTTTTTCCTCTCTTTTTTAAACCACATGCTTTTTTGAATACCATGCCTATTTGGATACATCTGTACTAAATGTGTGTGCTCGCGGGGAAATGGAGATAATGATTGCAGCAAGGGAGTTAGCTTCAGTGGATGAGATCGTTTCTTCTTTATCGTGGAGAGAGTTTGAAGTAACCTTGGGCCCTTTCGCTCACTTTGGCACAAAGGATGCCAGAGGCTATATATATATATATATATATATATATATATTAAAAAAAGAACATAGTGAATTGGGAACGTAAGACTTGTGCTGCGACCCGTTTCACCGCGCAGTGCTGACCTGAACACGCCCATACTGCTGTGCTGAACTGCACAGATAACAGACTCCTTCACATTTTGTCCTTCCCATCAGCTACTGCACGACTTCGACACACTCTGCTGCATTGGGCTAAAGAGTGGGTGTGGATTGAGGCCAACACATCTTAATTCCCATCATCAGTGTGTGGCTCAGTGGTGTGATAGGGATAATAGGGTTAGGTCGTCCCTGTGGTCTTAATGAGTTTCTTTTCTCCTCTCTTCTCCTCCCTTGATCTGTTCTGATCTCATTAATGTCTGGATAGAGGAATGTAGCACTGCTGGAAAATTGCTAGTGTGTCTCTTAATTTTTCTGGTTGTTTTCGGAACATAAGAGTGAACTAAGACATTTAAAAAAAAATGTGTAGTAAGGTTCAGCTTACTCACAGAGTCGCGGCTTGACTGTCACCTCACTGAAAGATAACTGGACTGGAAATGAAGCAGGAATCATTGTGACACCTCCTTAGATTTTACAAGGATAAGAACAGCTCCGTGTGTGTGGATACACTTTGTATACCTGTATATATCTTTAACTTTCCAACTCTGTAAAAAACACTCTTTAGCTTCAGGTCCACTGATGTATTTACTCCCAAAGCCTTCATTACTCCCATATACCCCAATATGGCTGTTTACTGAGCTCTGTTTTTGATGGACTGTGCTGAGGATGTAACAAAATTCAAAGCCTAACATTTGGGATTTTTCGCTTCTTGGAGACTTCATGGGGCTTGAAAACAATCATAATATCCTGCATGGTATGTTCTGAGAGACAAAAGGACACGTGCTCATTCTCTGGGAGAATGAGTTGAGATAAATGGTTTTCAGACCCTTAAAGGGCATCAAGAACCCGTGGAGAAACCAGTTTGTGAGTTTTGCAAAGAGACTCTTGAGACAGCCCTGCCTTTTAAAAGTGGCAAATATTTCTTCAAACTGCTGTTTTATGGCAGTTCCATGATGGCACCTTTCAAACACTTAAGAGTGGATTTAAGGGAACTTTATGTAAATGAATCTGTGTGGGTGTGTCTCTTTTTTTTATACTGCACGTTTAAACATGAAGATGTTTCAGTCTACTGCGAAAATGAAAAGGGGAGAGAGACAGAGAAAGGCATCATGTCTGAGATCTGCCACCTACTAATCAAGACACTTTTGAGAAGAGACACTTCAGTGGACGCCATGTACCTGTCATCCCCCTTGTGCTGTTACCCTAGCCATGTACAAATAAAGTACACTGTAGAACAGACAACCGGAAACCATAACAAACGATGGCATGCTTAAGGTTCAAATCTGCACTTGATAAAAAAAAGGAAAAAAATGTTATTTTTGTTTTCCTCTTCTTTGTTTTCTTTACCTTTAGGAATTGGCTCTGTTTCTTTGCCAATTCCCCCCTGTAATTACATAATGAACTAATTGCATTTGCTATGATGTGGAAGAAGAAGAAGAGCTCTTGACGAATGGTTTGGTATGAAGATTAATCATGTAAAAGTTGACTTTGACATTAAAAACTTCAGACATACCCATTGGCTGTTAGCACTTTCACTCTGTTCTCAGATTATTTCGCACAGTAACAATGAGAGCAACAGCAGGTGTGACACTTGTAATGACACCAAGCAAAATAACTTGCAATATTTTTTTTTTATCAAGAACTGAGCCAAATGTTGGCAAATTTATTCATCAATAAAGTCATTACTTACAGCAAATGGAAGCCTTACTTGAAAGTGGTAAAAAACTGGAGACAAGGCCATCTTTATTCAAGGTCAGCTTGGTCCAAATTCTCAGTTTCATAACAGCAAGCTGCAGTTAAAAACTTCAGAACAATTTTCTAAGCAGGCTGAAGTGTGGAGGTCATTCTCCCATTTACATCTTCCAAAGTCAAGAACGCCCAGTGAAGTTTAGCTTTTGTCTGCCTTCCTGTTGAACCAACAGCACCACTGTCACGCAATTATATGTCATTTTTGCAGCTGGCTGATATCTGAAAATTAGATTATCACAAAAAAATAAGTTTATCACTAAAAGGTGGAACAATCTATCAACTTTGAAATATTCTGCACTGGACCTTGTTACTAGAAAAGTTTAAAATGTAGAAGCAATTTGGATTTGGACTTATCTGAAAATGCTTCACAGGTGTTAACTGCTACAAAGATTAGCGTGAAGGACTTTAAAATGTCAAAACGAAAAAGAAAGGAAAAGAAAAATGAGAATCTGTGTTTGGTTTGAGTATGCAACGCTGACACCAGATGGTCATGCGTGGTACGCCAGTTTCCTGGTAGAGCTTTTTCTCTGTGTCATAACCCCTTTAAACATGCAGAAGTGAAGTACAGTAATATTTTTAAGCAATTAAAGGCATTAACTTTACATTAAAAAACATGTCATTTTAATTCAAATGACTCTTTTCACTGAACCAAAAATATTTGCTAAAGATTTAGATGTAATAAAATATCAAAATATGAAGTCCCTGAATCTTGGAAATGATCCTTTAAGAAAAGAAGGTTCTTCAAATTTATGTGATACACAATATATTTTACATGATAGCTACAATAACTATTTAAACATTACTTTATTGTTCTTGAAAGGAATTGATAATTTCAGAAAACAAGCACATTTTAATATTTGAGTACCCATTATCAGGGGCATCGCAGCAATTAAAAGTTGAATCCTGCACTCTACTCTGTTTTCCATTGTCACAGAACAGCATGTTTTCTCCTGAACTTTGAGCTGGTTACAGCACTCAGAATTTAATGCGTTCCTGTTTCACAATTAGATTTTCAAACAATTCCAACTAATTACTAAATTACTTTTGCTGTTTGACAAAATTCAATTCAAATGCATCTTGTTTTATTTTTTCCTCGGGTGATGGCTTATAATAATCTCACATTTGATTTAAGGTTCAGTGAAAAAAATGTCAATTGATGGACTCTAAAGTCATATAATTGTGTGTCCTTATTATCATCAATTAGAATAATCGCTTGTATTACTATGCAAGTGTGTCACCCATTCAATAAAAGGCTGTTTTCACCTGGAAAAACATTATGAAGTGCTGACCTCAGTTTTAAGTTTTCAGGAAATAGCCACCTAGATGTATTTGCTTTCCGCAGAGGACAAATTCTTATGTAGCTGGTAATAAAGTAATAAAAGCACACATTGATTAAATCATTTAAAAATATTAAAAACCTTCTTTGAAACATCAGAACCATCATATCAATCAACTTTTACTCATATAATAAGCACTAGCCATAAAAGGTTTTGTAAATGATAATTGAATAAGAAATTGTCTGTCATCCAGAAAAAGTGTTAAAGTTAAACTCTTCATTAAATTCAAGGGATACATCTGATGGATGTTCATTTTATTGATTTTATAAAGATAGAAGAAAGTGTTGCGATTGCGCCCGGTGAAGTAAATCCCAGCATGTTAACCTCCTCACACACTGCCCAGCAGTATATCAAGTGGTCTTTGGAGTTGTCAGGTGTTTTCAAGAGAATAAGCTCACTCTTCTTCTGAGTGACAGAAAGCTAGATTGAATTGCCTTTGAATTGGCTTTACATGCACAGAGAACCTTGGGCTCATTGCTTCAAAGTGAAAAGACATATTCGTGTAATATGTTGAAATTCGCCTGTCTTATTCGTTTGTGCTTTCCAATGAGAGGGGTTTATTTTCAGATCCTATCAGAAGGTGTAAGAGTAGAAGATGTAAAGAGTTCTGCAACTTATCCACACACACACATACACAACATTCAGGATTGGTAGAAGTGAAGGTAAAGCATTAAGGATGCGATAAATTCTGTCAGTGCAATGTTCCTATGTTAAGGGGAGCCTTGCAGCAGAGCTGTAAACACTATTTCTCGCCAATATGCCAGACAGATGATGTGAGATTTGATCCTCCCCGTCTTCCTCGATAGGCTGTCATTTATGTCTTTTCATCTTTTCATGGTCACACCAGCCTCAGCTCATCGAAGCTGTGCCATCAGCATTCTTGGTAGGAACAAGGAAGCAGGAAATAACACATATACAGCACATTTTATATAAAAGCGCATCTTTTAGCATGATGGCATCTGCTTATACCTGCACGATAAAAGTTACTTTTCAGATGAAAAGTGGGTTATTCAAATGTTCCTAAATGTTTATGAAGCAGGATAAATATGCCAATTATATATTTCTATGAAATATGTAATATATTTGACAGTCCTCTGCTGTGCTTAGCTTTGCACTTGCTGTAATGTATGAAGACTGCATGGTATGTTTTAAGGCTAATTTGCACAGTATCAATGTCAGTTTGGTTTCTGCTGTCAAAGTAAATCCAAACAAGTGAGAATAGTCATTACTGTAAAATGCATTAACGGCTTCTTCATGTTTTAGATGAAGGGGTTTCCATGCCGATGGAAGGCTGCAAGAACGGTCTTGAACGAAAAATAAAAATATATGCAGAAAATGAAGCGATCACATTGCAGAGCCATGCCGTACCAAATGTGCGATGTCACAATGGTCACTATACCAGGACTTGTTATGATGAATAGGTTTCAGCAGGGAAGAAAAATACGCAATGCAGTATTTGTGGCAAAGCGGAACAGGTGGAACAGTTTTTCATAAAGATAAAAGAGAAACAGCTAAAACAGCATTTAAATTCATTGGTACATGTTGTTAAGGTTTTGCAGTTATACATCCTGAATGAACACATTTATATTCTGTCCATTCTTTTTAAAGGACTTTTAAATTAAGGATTCATTTATACACACGTTTAAAAGTGAACTTAGGATTTCCTCACTGCATACTGATGAAATCTAACAGAACCTTTCACAGCCTCTGCTCTGCTTTTATGTAACAATCATGTGATTTTCAGAGAACTCACTTTGACACTCACAGAGTAACGTTATTTCCATACTTGCAGGACCGCACTGCTTAGATTGGTGTAATGGTCTCAAGGCGAGACCACTTTTCAGTGTTTTTAATTTACCCCATGGGTCTCCTCAAATGTGTTTACTTTGTTTGTGCCATTTCCTCACAGATAAGTCTGAGCTCATAATCCGTAGGAAGTAATAAAAACCCTCTGTGTGTGTGTGTGTGTGTGTGTGTGTGTGTGTGTGTGTGTGTGTGTGTGTGTGTGTGTGTGTGTGTGTGTGTGTGTGTGTGTGTGTGTGTGTGTGTGTGGCTGATGACCTGCAGGTGGTGACATGTGATTTTCTGTTTCAAGTGATTGCAGGGATGTCATTGCATCTCCTGATTGACCATTTCTTTGGGTTTCCAAATGTTTCTTCAGTCCTTTGTTGTTTTTTTGTTGTTTTTGTCTTCATCCTCACAAAAGAAGGTTGGGGGGGGGGGGGGTTCACTTGTGTAGCTAATTCAGAATCAAAGTTGTGACAGCTGCCCAGTGTCGAAATTTTACTACATGTGGTTAAGTTTGCATGTTAGTAATTAACACCCCCACTCTCTGGTCTCTTGCACCGTGAGATAGGCTCCAGAGCCACCCTGTGAAAGCCTAAGTGGGATAAGCAGTGCCAAAGGAGTGACAGATAGATACGTTATACACTTCATTTCTATTTCCAGTAATTCGCTTTGACTGTTTTCATTTGGGGGATAAAAAAGTACTGTAAAAACTGCTGCCCTAAAGCTTTATTTAAAAAGTTCATCCATATAGCAAATGCAGTCTCGTCTGTTACTCAAGTAAAGAGGACACCAAACATTGTTGCTCAAGTTTAAATCAATCTACATCCATTTCAGATTCTGAATGCCTCGAGAGTCTAGACCATTTTCCCCAAAGTTCAGCATGGACAGCATCTTATTTAAAGAAACTTTTGTCTTTCTCAGGCAGATGTGATTTACTGCTGTTAAAAGCATTTGATGATGACACATTTAACATGGGGATGTGTAATAATGTCAAGTGGTAATGCCATTAATAATCAAACTGCATCCCTCTACTTCCTCCTCAGAAGGCAATCATCATTTTTGTGGTCTTGATAATTTTGTTGTTGAAATTAGGACTATAGTTATGATCCATACTATCTCTGCAAACATGTCTGTTTTAGAGCTACGAATAATGGACCATTCATTACCGCGTATTATCTTTTGTTTTTGGATGTCACTCAAAATATCGTCACGTTCTAAAGAGAACTAGCAGACTTTTTTGTTTATTGCACGGATGCTGGATGCAGCTCAAATATGCACTGCAGGGGCCTATGGGACTATCAGTAGTAGGACGAAAGCACAGCTGGCTCAGTAATTTGCCTGGATGCAGTCAATCCTCTGTTATGCCCAAGAAGCGGTCTGTACTCTTTCAAGGGATGGGAAGTCATTGCATTGTTATGGCACCTGTTCAGACTTGTGTAAACTCCACGTACACACAGCCACTGTTTTACATTTCTGTGATTTCATCGCCTGCAGCAGAAAATCGGAAGACATGCATAATTTCAGCCTCAGAAGCTCAATATTACATCCCTTTGGTTTACTCCCAGAGCAGATGGCAGCAGCAGCATGCAGGTCTCTGTTGGTCTCTGTGAAGGTGATGTTGTCTGGATTCAGTTCATCTGTACTAGAAGCTAGAAAATGTTCTTTTCAAATATATATATATATAGTCTGCATGATGTAAATTAAAAATCTCCAAGCAAATAAAGTTTTAGTGCGAAGATCAAATAAATGTCAAACTATGTGCTATTACTAGTCTGCTTTATTGCTTTTACAAAATACCCCTATCTGTTACATGCGACATAAA